TTAATAGACGAACTTAAAAGTGTTGGCATGTCTTCCCGACATCACATAGATGATTTTATGCGTGGCCGAATTATTGAAAGATCGAAGAAGGGTGAAAAATAACAGATGTTGCCAGGGAGTTCGACATCGTTCACAACGTTGTTTCACGGCTGTGGAAGTCATTTAAAACTACTGGAACGTGTAGTAGACGGCACAGGGGAGGTCGTGTTAGAAGTACGACGCCTGCAGAAGACAGATGTATTGTCCTATCAGCAAAAAGGAACAGGTGCACCACAGCTCAGCAGGTGGCAAATCCGTTTCTTGCTGCCTCAGGAAAGCAGATCTCCCGAAAAACTGTTGCCAGACGTTTGAGGGGAGGAGGACTATACGCACGCAGACCTGTTGTGTGTGTCCCATTGACCAGACAGCACCGTACTGCCCGTTTGCAATGGTGTCGTGAGCATCACAATTGGACTGAACAGGACTGGGCATGCGTACTATTCTCAGATGAGAGTAGGTTCAGTCTGTCATCGGATTGTAGACGCCAACTGATCTGGCGCGAGAGTGGTACTGCTTATCGTCCAGAAAATATCCAGGAAAAGGACCGATATCCGACATGCAGTATCATGGTGTGGGCCAGCATCATGATCAATGGCCGCACGCGCCTACATGTGGTTGCGAATGGGACTATGACGGGCCAAAGATACATTGATGAAGTTCTACTTCCTCATGTTCGTCTTTTCCGTGGTGCTGTCGGTGATAAATTTGTTTTTATGGACGACAAAGCAACATGTCATCGAACACTCGCTGTTCAGGATTGTCTAGACAGCGAGGGTTTTCAACGTCTTGTATGGCCTGTGCGTTCTCCAGATCTAAACCCCATTGAAAATGTGTGGGATGTTTTGGGGAGGCAAGTTGCTGGTCGAAACTATCCTCCGACAAACAAGAACACCCTCATCCGTGCACTCACAGAGGAATGGGATAAAATGCCTCAACAGCTGCTGGATAATGTTGTGCAAAGTATGGTACGACGTGTGGAATGTTGCATCACACTCCACGGTGGACATATGCCGTACTGATACCTTTCTTTAAGGTGCCTGCTGACTTTTAGATGCATTGTTCCATTTCTCCGTACGCAGATCAAATGAACATTTTTTTTTCTTTCAGATGTTTCGCAGCTTTTGCACTTTCCAGAACAATAAATATTCTTTATTCTAATGTTTGAACAGTGTGGCAACTATATTTTATCCTACTAGGCCTCATGTCTCGTTTAATGTTATGCTACATAGCAATTTGTGATCCGTCCTTAGCAATTGTCCAGCAGTGTACTATACAGTATATTTAAGTATCAAGATGTATACTTAATTAAATACATAAAAATAAATTACAAAAATCTTCTGAAAAGTAAAAAAATAATGATAATTATAATAATATATCAAAATAAAAAATCACAATGGCAAACAAAACAATAAATAAAATACATTTTAAATATAGTTTAAAAATTTCCACAAGTTTAACATCAGACATGGGATCGAAAAGTTGGGTTAAACTAGTTTGATGATATCAACGTTTTCCCTATTGCAACTTGGTAGGCTAAAATAAAAATATCCAATGCCTTAAAATGTTAAAATTTCGAAAATTGGAATATTCACAATGGTAAGATTTGAAAAAGATTAAGCCACAAGTTTATTAAAATTGCTAAGAATTTAACAGATCTTCAGTATAAAAAATTCAGCAATAACATACACACATACACATGAATGCACACACAAGTATATACATTTATGTCTTGTAGAAACATTATAGTTTCGATGATAAAAGAATAAAAAGTTCCTGGTTTGAAATGGTAAATCTGATGACACTGAATAAGTTTTGAGAATTTGAGGAGATACATATTAACATTTCTGCACTATAAATATAATTTAAGAAATAATAATAAATTTTTGTAGTACAGAGCGTAACTAATTGGATCTGAAATTAAACTTCTCTGTTCTTCATTTATTGAAACTGCGCTTTTGGGTTTTATATGTCCTCACACACAGTTCACCAAATACAAAATTAACTTTAATTGGACTAATGCATCTAATTTGCTTATTTCCATTTTTAATTTGTTTTCCATTACGGTTATCCTTTGAAGTACAGCAAAATCAAAAACATGCATAATCAATCTGAGTGTACAAATTGCACTGAAATTAGGGTGATGTTATATTTTCTACTTTATTTTCATGTTTATGTACAAGATAATGCATAAGATTTCATGTTATCCGCCGCGGAATCTATTTACTTTTATTTAATGAATAAATTAGCCAACGACATTCACTAATTTATTCGCTCTCAACATTTTTGCTTTAATTTTAATAACCAATTTTAATTTTTTTTTATACATACATTGTCTTAAAAATCCTTCACTACTCAACCTGTCGATTTTTAAAAATTATGTGAGTATATACTGAAAATATATTTTTAATCTTTAATTTTAATACCCTACGTCTCTTTCTTCATGTGATGAGTATACATGAACTTTGAAGAACATCGTAGTCTTTAGACAAAAATGTGCTTTAAAATTTAAATTTAATTCCATTTTTCAGTTCTTACTATCACAGTCCACACTCTCCTTTATATATATATATATATATATATATATATATATATATATATATATATATATATACTGCTCAAAATAATTAAATGATATTGCGGTTTTAGGTGGATGATTGATACATGGTCGACAGACGTAGTAGGTTATATGAGAATAAATTACACATGTTTGGCAGAAAAAAAAATGCATTTTATTCCGCATTTGTGTACGAAAGGAAAAAAAAACACAATTTGTGCATTTGAGAAAAAAAAGAAGAAAAGGTGTTTTCTTCAAAGGAAATCATTTTCAGTAGGGGGTATGGTTTCCAAGGACGGCCAGCAATGTTGAGCACCTTTGAAGCATGGAGTCAATGATGCTATTAATCACGAGTTGGGGTATTCTGTCCCACTCTTCCAGAAGAACTCTTTCCAGTTCTTGAAGAGTTTGTGGGGGTGGTTGGCGGCCAGAAACTCGTCTTCCTAGAGCGTCCCAAACGTGCTCTATTGGTGTCATGTCTGGAGAACAACCTGGCCATTCCATTCGTACGATTCATTCCTCGAAAAGGAAATCCTCCACCTGGTTAGCACGATGTGGCCTGCAGTTATCGTCCATTAAAATGAAGTCATCTCCGATTGCTGCAGCGTAAGGGATTACAATATATCTGAGGATCTCATCCCTATATCGGCGAGTAATCAGAGATCCATCTCGAATGATGTAGAGGTCTGTGCGCCCGTCAATGGAGAGGCTACCAAACACCAACACTCCCCCACCGCCAAATCTGACACTTTCGTGCGAGAACTCAGAATTCTTCCTACTGCCATGGTCCCTCCAGATGAAAATACGCCTATTATCCGGATGAACAGAAAAACGAGACTCGTCAGAAAAAAGAACATTGCTCCATTCATTTCTCATCCAGTTCACATGCTCTGGTGCCCACTCCCTGCGGTCGCGACGATGCCTCGATATTAGTCCAGCACATACCATCGGTCGGTGAGCATACAGACCTACACCTTGGAGCCAGTTTCGGACAGTCTGAGTTGAAACCGTGGTGCCAGTAGCCGAGCGAAGGTGTTGTTGGAGAAGAGTAGCGTTCATATTTCGGTGTCTCCGAAACGTTAAGACTAATTAACGATCTTCATTGTGCGTTGTTGCCCGTCTACGACCTTGTCCTGGTCTACGGCCTGCACTTCCAGTCTCCAAAAAACGGTTCCAGATCCTGGAAATCACACTTTGTGACACTCCAATGGCTTGGGCTACTTCGGCTTGAGTCTTGACCTCTTCTAACTTACCAACAACTCTCCAAGTTTCTGAATCGGTTAAATGACTTCGGTGAGACATCGTACTCATCGAAACAAAGAAGGCACTGAATGCAGATCATCCTTGTCTGCATTTCAGCTGTAAGTGAAATTTCCTTCGCTGCCTCTGAAGCGACGTTTTTGACGTCGAACTCAAAATTAGCATACTCCACAGTTTGAAAATCAGAAAAATTTGCATTTGTGATTCTCTTCTTCCATTTTCGGCAAAAAAATTTTTTGCTTTTATCTTTATTTTATATAAAACATTCAATATCCTTTAATTGTTTTAAGCAGTATATTTATATATATATATATATATATATATATATATATATATATATATATATATATGTATAATTTTATATATATATATATATAATTTTATATATATATAAAATTTATATATATATATATATATATATATATATATATATATATAGTATAATAAAATAAAAGTGGAGAATAACTAGAACCCACAGTGCTAAAGAAGTAACAAATTAGACTTCAGGAAACACAACAAATGTAGATACAAAAAGTTATTGGACTAAACTGGAAACATATTATGATTTCTATAGCTGTCGCTGAATTAGGCCAGCAAATTAGGGTTAGCAATGCTTTATGGATTCAAATTTTCCCCGTACAGCAGAAATTTTCGACATAATAGAAAAAAAATACCTAAGTTGTAAAGTTAAGCCTAATGCAACACGTGGTTGTAGAACCTAATAAAATCGTAAAAAGAAATTGTGAAAAGAGAACAATAATGAATATATCAAGGAGATTTTTTGGAGAGATTTGAACAAGATATATATTCATATATATATATATATATATATATATATATATATATATATATATATATATATATATATATATATATATATACATATATATATACATATACATATATATATATAATATATATATATATATATATATCTTGTTTAAATTTGCAATCGTTAATAAAATGCTTTCTATTCATCCATTTAAGTTCAAATACAATTTTTAAACTTGTAGTGGATGGCACTTGATGTCAATATAGTTTTTTTTCCAATTACCACAATTCCTTAACTAAATTTAATTTATGAATAAAATGAAATAAAAAATAATATAGTCCAACAGTGTATATAGGAAGTAAAATCACCCAATGTGTTCATGTAGTGCAATAGATAGCACTTTGGGCCTCTAATCCAAGGGTTGTGAGTTTAAATCTCACCTGGGATGGCCTAATTTCTGAGAATGTGATGTCTTTTTACTATACTGTTTTATGGTAATAATTAAATTTAGTTGATGAGTAAATAGTAACAAACAAAAATAATAGTCCATCACCCTATATAGAAAAGAAGATGGAAAATTGCAATTAAAATCGCTTTCTTTTTTGCCACTTAATAGTGTAATTCTGTCATATTTGTATACATATTTATATTAATTGTAATTATTTAATAAATAATAACTAAAATAAATTTTCTCTTAGTTGAATTAAATAAGAAGTGACTTTATAATTTTTTCTATATTACTTGATAATTTTAAATGCTGCGAGATATTTCAAAAAACTACAATATTCATTCTAATAGGCAAAAGAAAATGTTTTTCCTTTACACCATTTCGTCCGGATGCCAGGGTTTTTCTATCATTTTATACAAAAAAAGACTGTAGGAATAGTACAACTGTACAACCTTACTGTGCATTACTAATTTTTGTAAAAATAATTAAAGCACAGTTTTTGGAAATTTCCAAGCGATTTTTGTTGTTGTTAATTATCGAAACCTGATCACCAGTAACATCGAGTCAAAACCAAAAAGTTCATCATGGCTAAAGAGTTAGATTATTTCTTCGTTTAGGCTGCCGTTTTGAGCATCATGCAGGTGACAGTACATTTCGCTCTGATCCTCCTCAATTTTGTGGATGAGCACACTGGGTGGTCTGGGGGTCCTTCACATTTCTCCTTCTACCACAAACCTCTCCGGAAGACGTTTAGCTCACCAAATATATTTAGCTGGGTTGGACAGACTCTTCATGATACGAACGACTTCTGATGTTTTTAAGGTGTTACGGTCCACCCAGTAGCGTAGGTTTGGCAATTCTGTATTAAAATTGTATGTTTTCTTAACACTCGTTTCCGACATTGTACCTTCTTTTAAAACATGTCAGATTACTATGTTTAATACAAAAATACAAGTAACTAAAAATGTTAAGTTGAATGCTTGAACAACTATGAAGGACTTCTAGATCGAGAAGTGTGGCTGTATTCAATGCAGTGAGCAGAAAACTTACTTGAGCCGATGAATCTGAAAACAACGTATGTAATCAATTTATCCGCTTTTGAGTCCCCCGGAATTCCTTTTGATTGCTTTTCAATTTTAACTAGAAAATCAATTACTTATATAATGCACAATTCCTTAGAATATACTTTTTCTCCATGGGAAGGAATTTTTTTAACTGTTCCTATTTACTAATAACTTGTTAAATGACTTTAAATAATATAAAAATATTAAAAGCTAATTTTTTTAAACAAATTTCTTTACACATTAATCCTTCTTTCACAATGCATTCATTTTGACTGCTTTGGAGCAATATAGGTATATACCAAGTTTCCCTCTTTCGAGTGTTAAGCATGGGGTGTGGAATGATAAGGATGTGAGATCAATAGCCAATGCCGTGCGATAATGGGAAGAGCTGATCTCTCATCAACATTTACTCTCTCCTTCAGTCAACGTGTGTTAAGTGTCCTCGTGCTATTCCAACGAAGGTGCATGTCTTGTTTACAAATTAATCGAATGATTTGCTTACGTAAACAAAGTCCAATTCTCCAGTCCAGATGGCATCGGTGTTCCATAAATATGTTTCTTTTAGTATGCTTGTCTTAGGTCTTAGTAAAGATCACTCCAAAATGTCTTGGCGATCTAGCGGTCGATCGAGATCAATTTAATGCCCATTCTTGGTATATATCCCATGCAACTTAAGGTATCCGGCTACTTGCGACAACTTTTTTTAAAAAAAATGGAGACATGGAGATTTTTTGTGGTTTTTAGATTTATTTAGTACATTTTAAGAAAAAAGGCTAAAATTAAAAAGAGAAAAATAAATTATTACCATTAAAATGGGCAAAAATTGACAAAAAAAATCACACAAACAAGGGTCGCTCTGTACACAAGTAGTAAATAAACAAATGCTCAATTTTTCAATTTTGGTGTGTTGTTATGCCATTCCTTTTTGAAGAGACCTTCAGGATAAGAGAATTTTTAATTTTTACAAAAACTAGAGCACTTTATCTTAGCTATTATATGAAATTGCTTAAAAAACATTGATTGTATTCACAAAAGGAACTGTAAATTTTGCAATAATACAACTATTGATAAATCTGAAGTTTAAAACACTTCTACTGTTATACAGAATATAAATGAAAAATTAAAGCAAATTATTGTAAGAACTTTTTGAGCAATCATTGCCCCCGTTTGAGCTCTTTGCAAAAAAAAACACATTTCGAGTAAAACGCATTTTAAAGTTTGACATCTTGTGTAAAGTTATGGCATCTGCTTTTACTAAAATACTTGTAATTTTTGTTCTAGTGAATGGAAAATAAATCACTTGGTATTTATTTTTATAAAGCTAATAAGATGGCCTACAAATTAAAATCATAAAAAATTGTCCATTTTTAAAAAAATTACAGTATACAATTGGGCAGTATACAATTACAAACATCCATGTCTTCTCCGGGATTCGAGCCAGATTCTCCATCACAGTAGTCAGTAATATTTTGTCTATGCAGTGCATAGGCAGTTTGAACTATCATTAGTGAGTCATGAATAAACATCACTTTTCACAGAGCTCTAGTTTCCTAGAATAAAAAAAGCATTTTAAAATCAAATAATGTGGGATTAATATATATTTCATACTACATGGTATGGTACAGAGTTGGGCATTTAAAAGTGCCAAGGAAAACCGAGAGTTCCAGGTTACTAATAAACATGGCAAAGGAAGAGAGATAAATCGTTAGCAGGCTTATAGCAGATGTCGAAAATGCCCTCCCCCCCTATTCCTCTCTTGGAGCCTTTGCGCCCTGGTCATCAAGTTATGAAAGGCAGTTGTGATGTTCCTCCCCTTGGGAGTACATTCCTCGAAACATCAGCGTGAGCTAGAGGTGTAGGGTTATCGTAAGAACTAGAATCAAACATTATCTTAATATGATTTTACTAAGATATTCAACTTAAACTTTGAACAAATATAATATTATAAATTAATGAATGAGAGAATCTACGATGACGCCATACACAACACACTATATAATTCAGACCTATCTCAATAATTGAACCGCCTTCTTCTTATAAAATCTTCAAATAAGCAAACAATCCTACCTTATATTATTCTGTAATAATCTTGTCTTTATCTACAAGGTATGTAGCTTTAGGTTTAACTTCTAATCGACCACCAATATGCTTATCCACGATACGTAGAACTTCAATCTTTGAACGACGAACTTCAATAAATATCCACTGCCACAACGCACGTCAATTGTCGAACATTCCTTTACACTACTATTACATTGCCATCACACTCAATCTAAGATCCTATATTTATCCTTTATTATTTGAATCTCTTCACTTCTCATTTCTTGGATTTGGTTGGAAAAGAGTTGCCATTAATTCTGGCCCAAAGAACCCAAAGGACTTGTTAAAGAAAAGACGCGTAAGACGCCACACAGTTTGAAGCTGGACTACTGAAATTGATACAATCTCATCGGAAATGTTTTGTTGCAGTTCTTGAAGATAGTGAGAAATGAATCGATACACCTTAGACTTGATGGTTCCCACAAAAAAATAGTCACACACTGACACATCAAGTGGCCTGGGTGGCCAGTAAAGGCCAAGACTAGACTGGTCATCGTTAACAACTCTGCAAGGAGTGAAGATTGTGTAAATGCGATCCACATGTTTTGGTGGGATGTATAGGAAGATGTACCATCATATTTGAAGTAACTACATGTCTTTTCCTTCTAAATTAAAGTTCCCACGAATGGATTGCCATTGATCAATTTATATTGACAGAGCCAGCACTAAGATCTTAATCGGATTTGATCAGTTGGTGTACACTTCATTTCATGTCCTATAGTATCCACTAGTCCGAACCACTTTTATTTGTCCCATTTTGTATATTTACTTTTGTAGAATAATATATTGTAATTTTAAAACGTTTAACGAGAATGGTAAGAAGATGGACAATAGTGAGCACTCTTTTCGTCGAGTGGATACTTACTTAATCAGTCAGTCTACCAGGTAGGTGAAGAAAGCGGATGCTAATGCCTGCGCACACAAGCCCCTTGTTGTTTTTATACTATTAACTGTTTTAATATAATTGTACCTGTGATCAATTTAAGTGTGAAATAATTTGAATATGTTTAATCTTTGGTGAGTTTGAATTTAGAAACCATGAATAAAAGTTGAACTGAGCTAAACGCCGTAGTAATTCTTTAGATCACAGTCTTCCAAACGTTAAATTATATCATTGTTATGAAAAACAATTTAAATTCTATTATTTTTCTTTTCGACTAATGTTCTCTGTATTTAATCTTGTAATTTTCATGTGTGGTATATTTTTTTTAACATTTTATTCATTGCATGTTTAAAATGAATAATATAAATATCCAAGCATTTATTACAAATTTTTGTTACATGAAAATGGTCTTTAAAGCAATTTTTTTATGTGTCAATTGAATCTTAATATCCATGGAAATCAATCTTTAATGGAGTAATATTTCCATAGAATTATATTTTCTTACATCCCCCACCCTATTTTTACCATTCACAATTATTTTTCAGTTACCTGGCTTTTCATTTTTCTTCTTATGTTCTAAACCATCAGTTTTTTAACTCTTGAATAGACAAAAATGTTAATTTTGAATTGTTAACAGTTTTTGTAAAATTCATTTTTTGAAAAGAATTGCATGAAAATATGGAAGCAAAAAAAAGTAATTTATTCGTATATCTATTAAATTTATTTTTATATCTATTTGGTTATTATCTATGTTGAATTCAATTCATATATAATAATTGTTATTCTGTATTTCATAATGGAAATATATATATATAAATGACATTCATCAAGAATCTACTTTAACGTATATTGAAGTGATTTATAAAATATTCATTTTCGTCGGTTTTAAAATAAATTTTTCTCTTTAATTCTGAAAAAGTTAATACACTGTTCGAAAATAAACCATCATTTTG